TGAGTTGGCAATTGAGGTGGTTAAAATGCTTTACATAGTTTCTTTATCTAAGAGCATAAATCACTAGAAACGAAACAAGAGAGGAAATCACTAGAAATGAAGTTCCGTAAGCAGGATATGTGATCACATTCACACTTTCCAGACAAGCTAATGGCAGAGAACGCATTATCAAATGACATCCACATGACGACCCAGAGTTTTGCAAATAAAGTTGTATAAAGTAAAACAACACTGGTTTGTACTTATTTTTTCCCCATCGTATGAGAAGTCCTCTCATCAAGTGTTATTAATGAATAATGGTTTTTAGAAGAGTTAGAACAACCACCGTGAAAAATCATCTTAAATTGTGAAGAAAGGAGAGACTAGAGATAAATACAAAATGTTGGGAAATTCAGATTGAATGAATGAAGAGATCAAGGGACCAGCTAAAAGACTTACAGAAGTATACCCAGTCGCAAGCTTAAACTCAGGTTGAAAAAGTTCACTTTGGAAATAGAACTGAAAAAGAAGACACATCAACAACATCCAGTGATTTTTAGCTCACTCTTAAAATTAAGCTAATTTTGAATACAGAGTACTGGGTATACATCCTTGAGAAATGGAGAGCACGGGCAGTTCTTAATATTGCTTTATCTGAAGTCCAAACAATCTGGATGTTTGTACTCCACGTGCTGATGTTGCTACCTTCCTGCCCTATGTCACTGGAACTTTCATGCATCAGCCTATGAATGAATACTTTTCGTGGTTTATTTTATGGTGAAGTTGTCCGTGAGCTAAAAGTTCAATTTTGCAACATGACCATCTTTGTTGTTATCCAGTGATGTTTGTTCACTCATTCAAATGTTATTGCCTGTTTCTATTATCACAAAAATGAGTGGGAAATGAAACAACTAAAAACTTCAAGTAATAAAGAGAAGTTTTGGGTCTCATAAAACTTAATGTAAGTTAGACAAAAAAGCAGGTTATTAGGCATGCCAAAAATGGCAAATCTTTAATCTGAATCAAGACATTTATTGAACTTAAGCAGATCAACTGTTGTTCAAATGAGAAGGAAATCACCAAAATTACAGAAATTTCAAAGAAAGAAAAATTAAAGAAAGGAGTGAACACTGAATGCAGTGTATAAATGGCTAGATAGAATGAGGTATTTCGTAATATACATAGCTCATAGGGCCAGCATCCCTTATAAAATGTAGGCTTTTGCACCATCAATATTTGGACCTGTTTTTAAGAGTGCATCCTGTACTAAAGTAGGAAAAACAGTCATAAGCTAGTCACCACGTTTACGATCAAATATAAAAACAAATACAATGGTATATATAAATTGACAAGCACAGGACAAAAGTTCTTTATTTTTATTAACGTTGGTGCTTCCATCCTGGGGCCCCGACACTGTCATGCACAACCAGAACCATCCCAAAGGTATAATAAAATCAGCTCTTGGATCATGGTGCTGCCATAATGTTGAACATGTAACATTAATTTGGTGGCACATGGTGTTTCATAAGTCTTAGGATATTCTATCTTGCCCATTTAGCTCTCCAGGTTACTAACTTTGTACACAGTGTCTAGCCAAATTATAAATTCTTGACTGGCTTCTCCACTGCCCTGAGTGCACACATAGGGACCATCCCAAACACTTCGTGTGCTAAGGAAAGTCAACTAGCATTCATTCATTCCATCTTCCCCCACATTCTTTAGGCATTTATCATGTAACTATGATGTGCCAGTCATGAGGATAAAGGTTTAAAATAAGGAATGGTAAATTCACCAATCAGTTGCACAAACATCCAGATCACAAATACAGCTAACATAATATAATAGATGCCATATTAAAGTCATCTGCAAAGTAGACTAGCAATCACAAGAGATATCACTAAGTTTATCAGAGAGAATGAGGAAAAGCCTCAGAGGGTGGGTCTTACTTGAACGTATCTTGGAGGATAAATGGGTAGTAAGTTGACTGGACTGAAAAGAGGAGCAAAGATATCTCTGGCAGAGAAAACAGCATACACAGAGGAAGTAAAGACAGGCAATGCATGCTTTTAGGAAGAGAAACCAGATCAAGGTTAGCGGGGCTGGAGGCCAGAGGAAGAGGAGAGCAGAAGACACAACCCAGAGAAGACGTGCTAGGCTGGTCTTGTGCATCACATTAAAGACGTTAGGCTTTACGCTGTTAGTCCAATTGTGATCTTAGGTCACCTCCACCAGATTCATTTAGGGATCTGCTCCAATGCAGATGTCTGGCCCTTGCATCTTGGGTGAACCCGTGAATTCCACATTTTTAATAAGCACCCCGTGACACTGCTGCTTGCAACCTGGAGAGCTGCCAAAGATGTTTAAACAAGGTACAGACATGATCAGATTTGTATTTTAGAAAGATGCTGTTAGACCAAACAATCACAAGGAAGGTAAATTCACTGCTGCTACGTGAGCATGTGACTTGGGTTTGCAATAGGGAACTTGCCGAACTGCACACTTTCCCATATCCCCCAAGACTTCCTGTATCTGAATCAAAGTGGAGGGAGCCAGGATTTATATTAGGTTGAGCTGTATGAAATTGCCATTTTATGTAGGTCAAAAATGGTCAAATTTTGTCAATTTCTCACGGTTTAATTTAGCGGATAATAATGAAATGTAAGCAGAGCTAAATACTTTTCCTTTTTTACTAATTATCAGTGCCATTACTCATTTGATTAACATGCAATAATGGAAGTGGCAGAATTTATGTACCTAAGACAAATGTTTTAAAAAAAAAAAGTTCAAAAGCAACGACTGATGAAGAAAAGCAGCTAATCTAAGGATTGTAGAGACAGAAGGAACCCTGGAGATGATCCAGCTCTTTCCCCACCTCCCTCCCCACAAATTACATATGATGAAGCTGATGGGAGAAGTAACATGCTGGAGGTTATACTGAATATTTTGTTCAATTCCTCAGTGGTATGTCCTCCTCATTTTAACAGATCTTGAAATCATTATAGCTAAAAAGTATTTCGGATTTAGTTCATGGAGAGCTAGCGTCATGTGATGCCCTCAAATGCTTGGAGTGGGCAGGGGAAGGGGGACATAAGGCAAACACTCATGCATTTTAAAAATGAAGCCAACGAACTTAAATAATATGGAACCTAGACCAGAGCTTGAAATGCCACAGATGCTTAATAAATATTTATTGAACGAATGAATGATGGACCTCTAAGAAATAGGTTAAACGACGTATATTAATATGTGGTGTTTCTAAGGCAGTATGCAGGGTGTAAAGTGAGTGTAGATTTCCCACCTGCCAACCTGTCCCAAGCACCCTTTGGCACCCAACCATCACCCCTCCTGTAAAATCCCAGTCCAGCCACATGCACCTTTCTTTCCTCTGGAAGGGTCCTAGCAGAAAGCAATATAAAGATGGTGTGTGAGATTAATCTGGCAACACATCTAGTCCTAGGTGGGACTGGGGCCCACGTGAGCACAGCCTCCAAAGCTCATCCCAACACAAATAACAGCTAACACTTAGCTATAACATGGTGGTGATACAATGGTTAATAATGTTAGCTATATCCTCATCATAGTAATAGCTAATTACCTGCCAGGCTTAGCAGTCCACGGGCATTGACTCATTGAATCCTTTTCACAATTCTAACAATAAGAAGGATTATTATTATCATTCAGATTTTATAGCTGCAGAGAGAGATCAAGTGACTTGCCCCAAACCACACAACTGGAAAGTGGCAGGGTTGAGAGTTGACCTCAGGTTGCCTGGTCCCAGAGCTCACCCTCTGCAAAACTCTTTGATCTCAGAGCTGCAAAACAAAAAATACTCTGTAAGCTGACCCTTTGGAGCAGTCATGTCAGGAAGATGGCACTTATGTATAAAAAGATTGGATTCTAATCTTCAACCCTAAGGAATGAAGGATCATCTTTAGTTGAGAAGACCATATACAAAGTGAGACCCAGGATATAAAGGAGAAAGGCAAGAAGAATCAGCAAGGAATGTCATTCTCCTCTGCCTAGGAACAGCATGGATTTCACTGCCTAAGAACTTGTTGGCTAATAAAACCCCAAACTTAAAATTTCTCCTAAGAATTTGGGTCCTCCTATGAGGATATTATCTAAAGAAACATCAAATAAATCACGACACTTCATGTACTAAGGGGTACCATCCTTAATTCCAGAAAGAAATATAAAGACAAAAGGTTTCTCTTAAGCCAGGGCTAAAAGCCCTAGATCAAAGTTATTTAAAGGACTAACACAAGATGGATCTTTCTATGTCTTGAAGAATGGCCCCTCCCAACATTCCCTGAGGAGCCTGGCATTGCAACCAGGAAGAGACCCCATCTGATCTAAATCACCAGGCTGTGATTCTGAAACCCCGAAAGGACGCTGAGAACACAGGAAGAGGGAGCATCCCAAGTCTGTGCACAATGTGAGTATCAAGTACTGGAAAAAGAAAAGTTTGGAAAACAAGTCAAGATCCCAGAGAAGTAAAGCTAGTCTGGAAGAAAGGGTCCTGCTGAAACTGCTTTTTCATTCTCAGTCTGATTCAACTCCCCAAACCTCCCTACATCCAGCTTTGACACCCGTCAACAGAGAACAAACACAGACAAGGCAATGCAAGGGCCGAAATTACGCAAAATAAAACGCGTAACGGAGGTGTCTCTCCAGGAAAAACACTCCAGGAAGTTCCTATTGGGTCCCAAATAACAAGACCAAATGTGAACAGTGACAATAAACCCTTGAGACAACGTAAACAACCCAAGCCTGAGCCCATCCCGCCCCACCTCATGCTGCCCCCGCGTCTCCCAACCCAAAACAAACCAGCCAGCGTCCGGCCAAGGTCCAACGGCTGCCGAACGGAGTTTGCCCCACTCTTACACAGGTCCCGGGATCCTGAGATTTGCAGCACAACCCTTTCTGACCGGTTTTCACCCCCACGCCAGCCAGCCCAGAAGCAAAATTTGTTCCAACAGCGCAGTTAGCCTCCAAAGTAGCGTCCCAGAAAAGAGCGATACCTGGGGGTCTCCGTTCAGGCTCCAAAGTGGACACGCGGGAAAGGAGGCCGGTCTCGGCGCGTTTCCAGACCCCTAGTTTTGCGCACGGGGAAAGTACTCGCCGCAAACTTGAACAAGGTTTTCCCGGTCTGGCCCGAGATGCTGGAGGAGGAGGGGAGTAACCCGAGCCGGGGCTGGGATGCGAGCAGTTGCCGCTGCTGCAGCTGCTGCCGCCAGGGCAGTGACCGCAGGGGGGTGTCGCTTGGCGCCGCGCACTCCCTAGTGCCACCGGCAGGATCTACCGGCCCGGCTCCTGAGTCCCGATCGCGGGTCGCCGCTGCCCGGAGCGGCTTCCACCGCCCGGGAGTGACCCCAGCAAATAGTCCGGTCGCGAAGTTGGCGGACCGTGGGGTCACCGCAAGAAATGAACCAAGGGGGTAGTAGAGAGAGTGCCCGTCTGCCTTTAGTGAGCGCCCCCGCGCCAAAGTCCCTGGGAGGTGTTCTAGACCCTCTCTAAGGACTTGGGGTACTGGGGACAGCGCCGGGCGGCCCGCTGGATGGACGGCACGTCCCCAGTGGTGCCAGAGAAGGAGCGCAAATGTGGGACGGAGAAGGGGTGGGTGACCTAGGCGTGCCAAAGTGTGAGATGCCGCAACAAAGTGGTTGGGGAGGTGGAGCGAGGAACTCGCGGGGCGCGGGGCGGGGGTGGGGGGTAGTGAGGGAGCCTGCTTTTCAGAGGCGGGGCAAAGAGAACTCCTGGGACCCGCAAGAGAATCCTCCCCGGCCCTGGGCCAGGCCTCGCGCGGAGATTTCTTGGGGAAGGGCTCCCTCTGCCGACTAGCCAAGGAGGCCCCGAGAGACAAATCACAGAAAGAATGATGAAAAGGTTTTTCTCCATTTGTGGGTTGGCCAAGAGGTGAATTCTGCAATCTGCTTCTCCAACTGTCCACTTTCTTCTTCCCTACCTAAGAATTTCCAGGCTTCCGAACAATGCAAGGACACAAACCTCAAACTGCTGGACAGTTTATATTCAGGTGGATTCTATCACCTCCCACCACCACCACCCCTCCAAAAAAGCCTTGTGCTCCATACCCACGCCAGATGATCCTCTCTTACCAGGTTTCTCTTGCTTACATGAATATGAACTCTTTCTTTTTGGAGGCATCTCAAATGTATATGTGTCTCCAGTCAGTAACAGCGTCTGCAAATAGTCCATACTCAAAATTACGCTTGAGTGAATGAAATGAGTAAGCGTAGATCACCCTCCTCCCAGGTCACCCCTGGAAATTCCCAGGGGAAGAGTGCATTTACTTGATTGTTTTTCAGACATCATTGCCCCATCTTCTGGTTAACAGCACCTCCATTTTTCCTTTGGGGGACCACTCCTGCCACACTTAGTTCAGTCTGGATGGGAAGGTCTGTCAGAATGGTCCAGCTTTTCCAGGTCCAAGGGCAGGCACCTGACCTAAGCTGGTCCCTTTAGACCTTCTCTGCCAGGAATGTGAACTTTGATCAGAGCAGCACAAGGACCAATAAATCTAGAGCTGATGGACTAGATGACACGGTTCTAAAGATTGGCCATTAGCTCAAGTCATTTAATCCCCAAAGCTACCCTGCTTTATGTTTTATGAAACCTCATTGCTCCACTGCCTCTCATTTTTTTTTAATCAACTATATTGAGATATGATTTACATTCAATGTGTTGCGCTCATATTAAGTATGTGGTTTGATGAGTTTGGAGCAATGTGTACATGCATGGAACCACTACCCCAATCAAGATAATGAATGATTCCCTAATGCCAGAATGTTCCTTTGCACCCTTTTGAAGTCAGTTTCCCATGCACCACATCATCTCGGCCCCCTGAGCTGCTTTCTGTAACTACATGTTAAATCTGTCTTTTCTAGAGTTTCTAAAATGGAATCACATAATATGTATTTCTTTGTGTCTGGCTTCTTTCACAGAGCATAATGTTTCTGAGATTCATTGATCCTGATTAAATCAGCAGATTGTTTCTGTTTATTGCTGAGCATCATTCCATTCACCAAATGTTGATGGACGTTTGCATTGTTTCAAGTTTAGGCTCATTATGAATAAAGCTGCTAGGAACACTGCTGTACAAGTCCTCTTGTGGACATATGCTCTTTTCCTTATTTCACAGTATTGGAATTACTGGTTTATACAATAAGCGTATAATTACATAATAGTTATCCAAAGTAAATGTGTCACCTTAGATTCACACTAGCAATGTAAGACAATTGTTTCACATCAACAGTTGGTACCGTCGGTCTTTTTATTTTAGCCATTCTCCTGGATATACAGTGGTATCTCATTATGGTTTTAATTTGCATGTCCCTGATGACTAATGGCGGAATATTGGTCTGGATTATTATTTTCCCATGATCACTTTGTCTGGCATAAGTTTCATTAATTTTTTTTCCATCTATCTAAGGAATTTGTAATCCTCTCAACAAAGAAACTAGTGCCCTGAAGATCTTCGGCCCAAATCATCACTCCAAAGTCTCCTGCCTACACTGTCATTCCAGGTCCCTTTTTACTACCTCGGCCATAGCTTGTCTGCAGCCTAGAGGTTTCCCGTTGAGTCTCTGCACCCTCTGCAACTCCCCACCCAGCTTGCTTGTGAGCTAGAGGTTGTCTACTGAGACTCTGCTCCTTCTCCAGGCCCCTCTGTGGCTCATCTGTGGTCCAGAGAATTCACACCAAGCTATTACTCTCTCTGCATGCTCACACTACCTGTTACTAGCCTGCACTCCAGAGGGTTGCTTCCTGATGGCTAAGAGACTTCAGAGCAGCTCGAGCCTAGACAAACCAGCAAACTTCTTTGCTATACAGTATATACTGAACTATACCTTCTCCAATGAGGTCTAAACCCTTTCCAGTTTTATCCTTTCTTAAGCACTTTCCTGGCCCTAGAGTCACATGCAGAACTGTCATATTATCCATTGCTTTTCATCAGAGTCAATAATCCTTTATATCAAAATGCCCCTGTTTAACCGACAGTGTGGTTTCTATCTTCAGATCGGACCCAGACTGATGCACTGTCATAAGGCATGACTTTTTGGGTCTCTATTGAAAGACCCCAGATGTTCACTGAAGACTATCCACTCTTCACTCTGCTTATCAGTCCAGCAAGGGCTCTGGGAATTGATCAGCTTTCAGTTTCCTGATTGGTATGTGCCTACTCTTACACAGTTTCATCCCATTCATCATGGTTTATTATTCAGCAATAGAAGGACCCTATGCAAATTTCTGGAAGTCTTCCCTTGTATAAATCTCTCCTCTTTGGTGCACTACCCTCCAAAATCCAGCCATGTCAGCATCCCCGAATTCCACTGTCTCTCTTGTGCTCCCCTACACTATAGGCCAGGAAGTAGCTCTAGTCAGAAAGCCATAGTGATTCTGGGGTTCACTGCATTTGCTTACCTTTTCTCAGGGATCACAGTCCTCTGGCCCAGTGTCTGAAAAGAGGTTTTTTTCATGTATCGTGTCTAATTTTTATTTATTTAAAGCTGGAGCATAAGTCCAGGCTAGTTACTCCTTTATAGCCAGAAAAGGGAGTGATTCCTGGGGAAAAAAAATTCCTCCATATGTTTTCTATGTTTTTCCTTTCTATGTTTTTACTTATTTTGCTTGAGTTGGATAGAATTGGTTTTTGCTGCTTTCATCCAAAGACCTTCGAATGATACACATGCAGTACCCAGAATGAACACACAAAGCATTTCAGATCAAGCCTCGAACAACCTGGATTATAGCGAGACTTTTACTAACCTTTATTCTGAACTCTATAGCATTATTAATATAAGGTTTAACAGGCTTTTGTTTGTGGTGGTGGTGGTAACTATACTATTCTGTTAACATAGAATTTATAATCTACTAAAACTCCAATTACTATTCATATTTGCTATTAAGCCTGACTTTTAAAAATATTATTTATACAATTAGTTGGAACTTCCGTAGTAATTTTACAAGACTATTCATTTAGTCCTTTGAAATTCCATTTTTATATATGCTGTCAATCTTTAGAATTCAAGATCTTGCTGGAGCTAATTATTGTCCAAGTATGTTAGCTAGCCAGCTCAAAATCACGAAATTTGAAATTTAATCAGCAAACCACAATACCCTTCAGTAAATACTTATTAAACATATGGAAGCAGCTAAAAGTCAAAGACATATTCTAACAGAGACGTTATTCTCTTTATATTTATTCTCATCTTGTAGTATGGTCATTCAACCACTTATAAACACTACAACTCTATTATATCCAGCCCACTTTCTTCATTTGATCCACAAAGACTTGATAGGATTTTTTTTTGATTACCTTATAATTGCAGATGTATTCTCACCCCTTCAATTTATTTGTCTGGTAATACTTCCAGTAAAGGAAATCAAGTCAGCCTAGTAGTTCTACCTCTTAGCAGACAAGATTAGCTTGTTATACTCAGGACTTCCGGTCTGTAGTGCTCTCAATCATGTCTTTAAATCTATGATTTAAAAGCTTGCTTAGTTACAGCAACAGACTAGAGTTCACAGAATTTACCTCCTTCCCATTAAAAAAAGAAAAAGAAGAAGAAGAGGGCACGTTGCAGAGTGTTAATTTATAAATACAGCACAACGCTCACGTTTTTGACTTCACTCAATCCTAACAACAGGAAGTTTGTATCATTTTGCTGTCTACAGAAAATGAAGGCTCAGAAAGATCAATTAACTTACTCATGCTCACCTAGGTAGTAAGTGGCAAAAGCAGGTCTGATTTGAAACACTATGCTCTCTCTACTGCTTCACCTGCCTTTGAACTACATTTACCTATTCTAGTCTCCTGATAGGCCACCGCAGCTCTCTGTTTCACCAGTGTGCTATGTTTACTTACTTGCCCCGCCATGGACCTTGAAAAACTGCTTTGTAGGGTTGATTTAGAGTCTTTGCTCAGGAGTCTTAGAAGATCTTGGGTATATACAGCTTCATTCCCCGCCCCCACCCCAGTACAAATACAAGCCAGATTGAAATAGATTGTATCTTTAATCATAAGACTCAACCAAAGGATGGGGAGAAATAGCAAGGTGGAGTTCTGGTCCGATGAGGGTTCCCCCAGACTCCCTCTTTTGTCTCTTCCTCTGCACCTAGATTTTCTTTACACTTCTTTCTTGAGGATGACCCTTATTTATCTTTTTAAAAAGTTACTCTCTTAGGGAGCCTGGGTGGCTCAATTGACTAAGTGTCTGACTCTTTTTTATTTTTTTAAAGATTTTATTTATTTATTTGACAGAGACACAGCGAGAGAGGGAACACAAGCAGGGGGAGTGGGAGAGGGAGAAGCA